TAATTGATTATTAAAATAAGTTCCTCTATCAGATAAGATCTTTTGAGGACATACATATTGACATATGATATCTTCATAAATAAAATTAGCAACTTATTTCACAGTAGCTTCAGATAAGGCTCTAGCTTTAAACCATTTCGTCATATAATCTATTGCTGTTACAATATATCTATTTTTCCTTTTTGTGATAGGTAAAGGTTTTACAATGTTAATACCTATCCTATAGAATGGATTTCCTACATTTATTAGGTGTAAAGATTCAGTTCATTTGTATTTTTCTCTTCTTTGATAAGAATCACATTTTTGCATATATTCTCATATACTTTCATACATTTGAGGTCAATAATATTGCGTTCTTGTCAAATATACTATCTGTTGATAAATGTCTTTCTAAAAGATCATTATGCATCATATATAATAAAGCATCTAATTCATTAATTTTTATTACTCTCAATAATCATTAAAGAGTAATAGTTTTTACTTTATAAAAAATATCAAATTTAATAATATAATTCTTTGATTGTCGTTTAATTCTTTGTTTTTCTATTGTTGTTAAATTTGATGGTAATGATTCAGTCTTTAAATAATTAAGAATATGGGTATAATATATGTCATCTATTTTGTTATAAAGCTGTCTATCACACTGTAGACACTTATGCTTTCACTTTAATTATTATCTTAATAAAATTAGTTTTAATATAATGGAACTTTGTCAAGAAGTTCTTTAAGTAAATTCTCTAGTAAAATAACATTATTTTATTGTTGTATTACTAATGATTCTTTCTAAAACACGTCATTGCAAAGGTAGTTAGGATTCATATTAGGTTGTATTTGTTTCAATCCATATTTTATAATACAATTATGAATAACTATCCAATAAGATAGATTCTTTTTACAGGCTTTACAGTAGATATGAATATGATGGTTCTTATTATTACAGTTAAAAGTACATTTAGATTCTTCTTTCATAATAGGTTATTTAGCGATAACTTATTTAATTTTACGATAGATATCTTTTAGTTTATTCTTAGGTGATTGATATCTAACAGTCATAATTAATGATCCATTTACAAATTGTTGTTATAATTGTTCTTCAAACCATAATTCTTCAGGATCAGATGTTAAACTTTCTTTTGTTAAAGAATACTATTCGATTTCAGACTCTTTATCACAGGTAAATACTATAAAAATTTCACAAACATCTTTCTCCCTTTCTGATTGTTCATCATTAATTCTGAATAAAGTATCAGCATTTGCATTGTGTTTTCCTGGTCTATGTTGAATAGTATAGTTATAGGATTATAATTCCATCATCCATCTAGCACATCGTTTTTTTGGTATTTTAGATGTTTGTAATCATTTTAACGCTGAATATTCTGTAATCAATTCAAATTTAGCTGTGCATAGATAATGGTAAAAATGTTGAATAGCCAATACTATCACTAAACATTCTTAGTCTGTAACTGAATAGTTCTTTTCTGCTGAAGTTAAACTTCTACTTGCATAAGCGATAGGGTGTTCTCTTCTCTCCTTATCTTTTTATGCTAATACAGCTCCTAAACCTATTCCTGATGCATCAGTATATAAATAAAAAGTTTCATCAAAATCTAGGTATTGTAGAATTGATGCATTAGTCAAATAATTCTTTAGACGATTAAATGCATTTTGTTACTTTTCAGTTTATTCAAATATTTGATCTTTCTTTAATAAGGTATTAATAGGTTTTGCAATTCGTAAGAAGTCTTTAATAAATTTTTTATAATACAAAAATAATACTAAAGCTGATCAAACTTGAGGTACATCTTTTGGTATTGGTAAATCTTTCACTTTTTCAATTTTATCTAGATCTGGTTGAATACTATCTCTTCTAACTATATATCCTAAAAACGTTAGATTGGGTATGCAGAAATTACATTTTTTCAACTTAATCTTTAAATTAGCTTCTCTCAATGCTTGAAATACTTGTTTAATATAATCGATATGTTGTTTTAAAGATCTCAAATAAATTATGATATCATCTAAATATACTGAGACAAATTTAAATTTATGAGTTTTTGAAAGGTTCCTAAGGCATTACATAATTCAAAAGGCATTACGTTGAATTCATATAACCTAAAATTAGTAATAAAGGCAGTTTTTTCCTTGTCCTTTTCTTCTATTTCAACTTGCCAGTAGCTACTAACTAAGTCTAACGTAGTAAACCAGTTTGCTGTCCTAAACAATTCTAGTATATCATCAATTCTGGGTAAAGGGTAAGCATCTTTCTTTGTAACTGTATTTGATTTTTTGTAATCAACATATATTCTTTTATCTCCAGTTTTCTTTACTATAATTACAACTGGTGAGGTTCATGGACTCTTTAACTTTCTAACAATACCTTTCTTTTCCATATCTTCAATTTTTTGACGCAAAAAGTGTTGATTATCTAAACTACATCTATATGTCGTTTGTGCAATTGGTGTATCTTTTTCTAAGATTATTGAGTGTTTGATAATAGCAGTTCATCTTGTATCTGTTTGCTTCCAGCATATAAATCACTATTCTCTTCAAGAATCTGTTGAAAATTATTCTGTTGATGAGCATTTAATGGTATAACTTGTAGTTTAGGTTTTTCTTGCTCTTCCTTTGGTAGGTCAGCTATATATATACTCAGATATTTATTTTTATGCATTCTTGTATGAATTTCTTCTAAGATTTTGTCTTTAAATTTGATATAAGTAGGAGTCATTTCTCATTGTTTTGCCATATCTGCATATTCTTCAAAACAAAATGGCTACCATTTTTCTTACTTTTTTGATTCAATTTGTTCAAAGATCCAACTTGATGCAATTCTAGTAATATATACATCACAGTCATAAAAATCATCATTAAAAAGATACTCCACATCTTCAGACTTAATTGAAATGCCTATTTCCTTATATATTTTCTTTAATACTGCTTAAAACGATATCTTATTAGGTTCTACCTTTTACCTAGCACTTGTCACATTTTATACATTTCTTTTCTTGGATTAATTCTTTGTAACATCATAATATTCTGATGATCATACATAATATTCATTACATATTTTGGTTAGGCATTATTTTCAACTTCACTTAAGAATATATTATATTCATCTAAGTCTTCTTCCTCATATTCATCTAAGATTAAATCTAAGTTTTCCCTTTCATCTATCATTCCTTCTTCAAAAAGAATGTTAAATATAACTCTTTTAGTAATGTATGAGATAGAAGCAGTTTGTATACTAAAGTCAAGGTTCATTTTGGTTTTTCTACACCAATTTACTCCTAATAACAATATATTCTATGAGGATTCAATCACTTGCAGTTCTACTGGAATTGATACATATTTTATGATTATTCTTGCTTCAGTAATTTGTTCTAAAGCTCTTACATGACTTCCATTTACTGTAATCACAATTAATTTAGAAGGTTTATCAATGTTAAATCCTAACTTTTTGGCTAACTTGTTGGTAATAATACTGACAGCTACTCCTATATCAATTATAGCTTCAATGAGATTATTTTTAATCCTGATATATGCTTTATAAGAAGTTATTTTCTTTTCATGTTCATCATCTACAAATTCTAAGGAATTGACACTAGGTATTAATATAAGATGACATCTTAAAGAATTTGCTTGTAATCACTATTCTAGAGTTACAGAGGATTATTTTGATAGAATATTATCAGCTATATTATATGGTGCAAGATTATCAACTTTGGAGGGATTTTGTGCTCTTTTAACTAGTTTTTGTTTAGGGTGAATTCTGCTTCCATTTTGATTGGGTTAATAACATGAGTCCTAAGATTTATTTCTTTATTTGACTCAGAGGTTTTGGTCATTTCCCTTTGTTGTGTTCTTGCATTCTTTCTATCAGTAGTATATAGTCGAAACCTTTCTCCTGCATATATTTCAGATATTTTTTCTTCTCCTTCGTCATCAGTAAAAACTTCAATTAGATTAGCATCTCTTTGTTTTGATTTAAAAGGTCTTTCAGATAAACATTCCCTAAAATAATGGCCTTTCTTCTCACATCGCTAACAAACTATTTAGCTTTTGTCAAAAGGTTTTCTATCATTATTATTTCTTGTGGCATTTGTATTTTTAGTGAAACATTTGTAATCCTTGGGATTCCATTTTATGCTGCTAATACATTAACAATATTTGTATAGTTGAGAGAAAGTTGTTCCATTTGTTTTGTCAAAGCTTTAATTGCATCATTATTTGTGGCTTGTGGAGATTCTCTCATGTAATACATTCTAGCTTCAGTACCTCTGGCTTTATTGACAGCTATTCTTAAATTACCAGGATCTGCCATTGTGACTCTTATTGTAATGTTAGGTTTCAGTCCATTTAGAAATAGTCTAATTTCATAGTCATCTGGTGAATGATTACCTGGGTCAACTAATCTTTTAAGGTTGTTAAATCTAATGCTATAGGTATCTTCGCTTTCATTTGTCATTTGTTTGATGTTAGATAACTTATAATGCCATTTATTCTTTTACCTGACTGTAGTAAAGCAAGCTCTGAACATAGAGACAACACTTGTATTGGGATGCCCTTGCATATTCTAGTAACGAACAGTTATTACTATATTATCATACCATAATGCTACTAGTCCTCTTAGGTATTCTGCAATAATACTGTGTTTTCTTTCAGCTGTCCAATTATTTGCTGTTGCAGCTATTTCAAAATGTTTAAGCCATTCTTCTAGGTCTTCACTATCATTTCCCCAAAATGGTTGCACTGGTATAATATTAGTTTCTCTTAGAAATGCTTGTGGTTAAGCATCCCTAATTTCTTTAGCGATTCCTTTAAAAGAGTTACTCATTTGTCTAATAATTGCTGCAATACTATTATTGTCTAATGCTTCATTATTCTCAAATCTATAATCTTTACCTTCACCTCTCTATTTATCTTTAAGATTACTATGATGTCCTTGATTAGGTGGTTTTAATCTGCCTTGTTGATTGTTACTTTTATCTTCTCCTATTATGATGTCAATTGGTATCAAAGTAGGACTTATTACTAAAAGTGCTATTGAATCAAATTGGATTTTGACTAGTTCTTTAAAGAAGTTTGATTCTCTTGCCGCTTTAATTATACTTGAAGTTATGAATTCTGAATTTGGTCTAAGTACTTTAGGGTTGATAAAGGTTAAGCTATATAATAATTTTTCAATTCTAATTTGTAGTGATTTTTGATATGCTGCTGTAGTTTTATCAAGTTGTAGTTGTTCAAGAAAGATTAGAGTGACAAGTTTTTTTAATAGTTAGTCAAATAGTGATATAGTTTTTCCAGTGAATATGATTGCTATAAATTCTGTACTAATCTGATTCCAAAAATTCTTAAAATTCCTAGGAATATCTTCTGGTATTGGGTGACAACATAAACAGGTATGGTCAGTTGATAAGGTCATTTGTCCTTTATTATGTTATTAAATATGTGCTTCTTGAAGCTTGTAATGTAAATCAAATTTATTCACAATTTAACTTTCAAAAGTCTTTCTTCTGGCAGGAATCACCAAACTGTTAGACCTGAAATCGTCTCAAACCAAGCTAACAAAATCAATAAACTTAATAACACAATTATCTCAAAGGTCTTTCTTAAGAGAAATTAATAATTAAAAAATAAAACAATTTATTATTACGATTCATTTTTATAGTAGGTTATCACGATCAATCCTATTATGAAGATAAGAAGAAGGTTGAAAGTGTAAAATAATAACTTTATTAAACTTTAGAGTTATAAGTCTAGTTCCAAGACTTATTCAGAAACTATCTGATCAAATCCTCTTCGAACTCTGTTGACTCAAGGTTAACTTACAGGTCTATTTATATAAAATTGTTAACTAATACCATACTATGCCTTTCAATAAGTACATATAATAAAAATAATATAAGTAATGAAAAGTAGACTATATAATATTTATATTAAAAAGGTAAACTATTCAATACATGTATTATAAAGTCAATCAAATAATACATGTATTACATATTTAACATGTATTATATTTGACGCAGTTAAAGATCATCTAAGGCATAGTATAAACTGCGGCTAACACTGAATATAATAAATCTGATTTCAAATATGATAAAATAATTTTGGCACATTTATAATATGTGATATTATATATCTAGTTATAATTTCAATATTTATAAGTTATTAATTAAAAATTAATTTAACTTTATATTCAATTAACCAAATAAAAATAATATACAAAAAGGCATTATTTTCAAACTCTCTGATTAATTAAGTTTTTTTTTTTTAAAATGAATCTATATATTTTATATTTAATTTTTTAGCTAAATTTTAATAAAATATGCGAATAATGAATCAGCTAACATTATTACAAAAGCAGTTAGATTAAAATAATACTTTAAATAGGAAGTTAGTTAAATGAGAATTTTCTAATACTAATTTAGTACAATTAAATGTTCTTGTAAAAAAGTAAATTTAGATTAGAATGATCAAAATCAGAATTTGTTCTTTTTAATAGTAAAGAGAATAGTAAATTATTTTAAATTTCATAAAATCACTTTTATGTTATAATTAAAATATTTAATATAGAAAAAATTATCTTGCAAATTTGCATAAAATAGTTATTTTATAAAGATATTACCATATTTTATCAAAATTAAGCACCCCTTTTTGCAAGGATTTTAGGCGAAAAGTTAGAGGTGATACTTAATTTCAATACTTTTTAAAAAGTTCTTAAAATTCGTTAAAAATTAATTTAAAAAGGTTTCAAATTATCACGTCATCTGACATAATTTTGCATAACTTTAATTCAGAGTTTTTTAACATTACGTGACTATTATAAATTTTGTGTAACCTCTACAACCTCCAAAAAACCTGTTTTAAACTGTTTCAAAATATGCTAAAAGTTATTAAACATCAATGTAAATCATATTCTATTAAACAAAAAATTTTTGTAGTTACTTATGCTATTCAACATGAAAGAAATGAAGCAGCCAGACATTTTGAACTTGATAGTACTATGATTGGATGCTAAGTTAAGACAAGTGAAAATTGGATAGCTGAAATAAAAGATAAGTGTAAACATGTGGGTTTTGGCTGAAAAGTTTTCTATTCTAAAGCTGAGGAAAAATTATACAATTGGGTTATGGAGTAAAAAAAAAAAAGGGTTAGCTGTAACTTCTATAACCTTACGAATTTTAATGTTAGAAATTTTGAACTGACAAGAAATGATAGTACTTTATGAAGATTTAATAAAAGAGAAGAGTTTAAAGCAACAGCAGGCTAGTTAAATGCATTTATAAAAGGTATAAATCGGTTATACGTCAACGTACAAAATATTTTAAAAACTTCCTGAACAATTGGAAGAAAAATTAGATAATTTTTGCAGATTTATTATTCATCTTAGAATTAGAAAGACTTTTGAAATGTGTAATATTTTTAACATGGATGAAACTTCTGTTTAGTTTGATATAGTCAGAAATTTTACCATTCATGTAAAAGATGAAAAAACAGTTCATATTCGTGAGACAGACAATAAAAATAATCAGTTTATTATTGTTTTAACATGCGCTGCAGGTAAGAATCTTTTAGTTAATGATTTATAAATAAAAAAATTTTTTAGTTTTTAATTTTTATTATAGATGATATCAAATTACCACCCATTTGCATTTTTAAAGGAAAGCAAATACTATGTGAAGAAAAAGCTCCTTCTGGTGTGATTGTATAGCTTCAGGAAAGTGCTTGGATGAATGCTGATCTTATGAAATGTTACATTAATTATCTTAATTGTATAAGAAGATCAAATAATCAGTTCAGATTTCTAGCCATAATGGTATATGACTCTTTTAAGGGCCATTTAGAGGAGTCAGTTAAAAACAAATTTAGCGAAAATAATATCAATTTGGCAGTAATTTCAGATGGTTTGACTAGCATCTGTTAACCACTTGATGTTACAATTAATAAGCCATTTAAGGGTAATCTTCGAAAAAATAGCATTGCTAGATGTCCAATGGTGGTGCTGAATATACTGTAGGAGGAAACCTTCAACGTGCAAAAATAAGTGATGTTTGTAGATGGGTCATACGAGCATGGAAAAATATTTCTAATGATATTATTATCTGTTCCTTTAAAAAATGTAGTATATCAAATGCTTTAGATGGATCAGAAGATGATGCTATTTATGAAGAAATTGATGATTTTCTTAAAGTGATTCAAGATGAAAATGAAGAAGAACTTGAAATTATTGATATGGATAGTGAATAGTTAGAAATTATATTTTTACTATATTTGTATAATTTGTTAATTTGTAAATTTGTAAATCATAATAATAAAGGTTAAAATGGGGTGCTTATTTTTGATGATGCTTATTTTCAATTTTTACTTGAGATCGCATAAAATTAAGAGAGGTGCTTATTTTCAAAGATGCTTAATTTCGATAAAATACAGTATATACTATTTTAAATTAAATTTTTAAATTTTATGATTCAAAATATTAATTTTTTTAATTTATAAAACTATAAAAAGTAATATTTCATTTTTAATCCAATTTTAAATTGTAATAGCAAAATCGCATTGTCTAAATTTGAAATTTCAAGTTGGATTGCCTGAAATTGAAATTTGAACCTCAATCACACAAATAGATTATGCATGCTGATATTTATCCATTTATATAATATTTTTAAATTCAGTTCTGTGATTTATCCAATACATATCAAGGAAAATTAATTATTTTTTAATTTAAATTTATCAATATCCGAATATAAGAAATGAATTTAAAGTCTAAATTTGAATTGAAATTTTATTTAAAAGATTCATTAATAATTCTAAAATTATATGTATAATAGGTTAAATTGTAACTTTAATCCTTTTTTTTAAAAAAAAAATTGCAAGCTTAAAAATTTGATAAATACCCTAACAGCTATCATAAGAAGATTTAAACTTATTTGACATATAAAATGGATAGAAGCATTAATCGGATAGAAAACATTGAATTTATTTATTTTAATTTATTCATTCTTTTAAATTTAAGCAGATTCTGTTTTCTTTGCAATGCATAAAAGAATGAATATATAATTACAAGTTAGAATTTATATATAGAGAAGTCTGATTCTATCTGCATAATCTTTAGGCGTAAATTTTTTTTATGTACTAAATTCATTTTTTGCTTCTTTTACACAAATTAGAAATTCTTAACCGAAAGCTCAGCAGCTTTTGAATACGGTTCCTTCTTTTTTCTTTTGATTAGCAAAAGGGCTCATACTTTTCACAACCTTTAAAATAAACTATGTAGACTTACTTATAAATATACTTAATTTTAATAGTTAAAATTTAATATTAATTTCAAGTTACAAAAGTAATCAAACCGTTTTGTCTATTAGCAAAAAAGTAAAAAAAGTTATTGCATTATGGTATACAATAAATTTGATTAAAAGAAATAAACATGTGATACTAGCCAAACTATGATTATTTTGTTTTATTTATAAACGGAGTATATTTTTTATTTTTTAAATGGTATGTATGATTCATGGCTTGCAGTATTCTTAGAAGTCTTTTGATATTGTGAAACAAATAATCAAGTTATGTGATCGTTATGAGGTTTCTATTTCAATTTCCATTATGGTATAAGGCTAAAACTGAAGTTTTTCAAAAAAAAAAAGTTGTTAATATCATGAAACAAATTAATTTTATAATAAATGGCATATCAACTATTCAATCAGTACAAATTAAAGATAAACCAAAATGAAAAAAAAGTATAAAAATTGATGACAATGAAATTGAGTTTATTTCCTATGATAAACTGATTGACATAAAATTTTGTGTCAAAAACAAATTTAGTAAAATTTATAAAGCTACTTTGATTAATAGTGATGGTTATATCAAGAATTAGAATGAGTATAAATTATTCATTAAATGGATTTATTCTACACAGGTTATTCTTAAAAAACTTAATAGTTCTGAAAATTTCATTTCTGAAGTGTTAAGTGTGATATGTATTAACTTGTCTATAATGTATAATTAATTTAACTTTTGTTAATATGTTTTAAAAATTTAGCAAATTAATAATATAGTCAAATGTTTTATGGAATAACTCAAGACCCTATCACAAATGATTTTATAATAATATCAAGTATATTCAATTGGAAATTTTTAATGGATCATTTATTATATAAAAGCAAAAATAATGTTGTAAATTATTTTATTAGAGATAGTCAAATTAATAATTTGGAATATAGGATGATTAAATATGTTTCCTATGATCAATTGATTGATATAAA